CTTGTGTATCACTGTTTCTTGGTCTGAGGTCTCCAAGTGAACTCGGTGTTGGATAAATTCAAGAGGTGAAGATGGAGGGTGGGCTGCAGTTACCTGCTGCCCCTGGCAGACCACTTCCCGCACCTGATTTGCAGACCCCTGCATTTCTACTGCTGCATTAGACAAGTCTTACTTAATATAAGAAGTTCCCAGCTTCCTTGTGTGGCCAAAGGGAGGCGCGTATGCAGTGGAGCCGGGAGAGGAAGATTGCCACGCTCGGATCTGTATCATCAAAGTGACAGAATGGACAGTAAACAACAGGTTATTGACTGGGTACGTGCAAAGGGTCAACTGCGGCGCGCAGCAGGCAACATATTTATGAAATGGGAACCTTGAATATATAGTGCACTTTTAAAACGAACCGTTTCTTTTCTATTTGTGCTCCTTGTAGCACAGCAAATTGACATTATCCATCTGTTTAGATAGATGGATACACACCCGCTTCTCTGTTTTCTAGGGCACAAAGACATCATTTTGTTTACCACTGAGCAGGTTTCTATCTTGGTACAGGTACATTTTGAATAACAGGTTTATTCCAGTGTTTGTCACTAGACTTATGTTTTTGTTAAACAGGAAAAAAACAACTAACAAACTTTAAAGCTATTTGTTTTGACATAAGGGTAGTGTGTGTCATCTCTATAGAGAGAAATTACTTTTTAGTCAGATACATTATTCGATTAATATTTAATCATATAAAAAAGTATTTCAGTTTTGCCAAATAGCAGATTTATCTCTGAGAGCATAATAAACTTCAACTTGACAGTATTTGCAAAACAGAAGAGATATTTTCATTGCAGACAAATTATAGATTTCTTACTACCTCAGAAAAAAATACCAAAATTACTGACCCGGTTATCATGGATGAAGTGATTATTTACAATTCTTGTCACCTAGTTGTTGCCATTGCCATATGGAATATCTGAGCAAATTACCTTTTTTACCGTCACTGATTCATGTGCAAAACTTCTAATCTGCTAAATTACAAATGTTCAGGCTATACAAATGTAGTCTGTACCATACACTGCAGAGTATCCTAAATTCTTGGGTTCGTTGTGATGGAAGACCGGTCAGGAAGCCAGTTCTGATGCTTTTAGGTTGCTTTACCTTTTCAGGTGCCAGAGTTCCCCAGAAAGGATCTGTCAGAAGTTCTTAACCCATCCGAAAGGTGGAGGTGGATTAGAAATTTTATGTAATGTGTATGTAAATCAAGGAACTTCCAACATTGAAATAATCCACCAAGTTTACAATATCCTGATTTACAGTAAGATGGAAGGACATGAAGATGCTGCTCTAGAGCTCAGCATCTGGGCCAGATCTGCTGCTGCCCCTGGTCTTGGTCAGGAGTTTTATACTCCCGGGTCTTCTCTGACCTCTGGTAACACCTGTAAAGAATTAAATTGAAATTCAGTTGATGCTTATGATAGAAGGAGCAAGACAAGCAGGCGTATACATTTCTGGATTTCCAGCTCAGTGTATTTAGCTACATACATAAAAAAAGTCCCAACCTTTCTGAAGCTTAAATAAAGCACTCTTGTGTACTGCAGGGCTTCAGAAAAAAATTGAGATAACTTGACAGTGATTTCCATTGCTTTTCCATTTTTTTTTCTTACACATTTCAGAAGTATGGAATTGGTCAAGTGTGGGTTTTTTTTTTTTTTTGGTTCATGTGCAAAGTCATATACATAAGGTACTAGCTTTAATACTGACCTGGCATGTCTTTGATGAAATGCCCCATGATACTTTTGCATCAATTTAACAAGAGCTGTATTTTACAGGTTGTAACGGTCCTCTTTAATAGTTCAAAAGAGTAACATGAACACTAGATTTAAAGGACCCAAAACTCTCTTGGCAGCAGTACAGGCAAGAGAGGGTCCTAAATCTTTTCTTCCATTTAATGGTCGATCCATGTGTAAATGTCTGCCTTATTCAGCCAATGTGGAAAATTGTGCAGTAAAATGTAGCACTTTGCTTGCATTACTTTCCAACTGAGAATAAATAGAAGACGAAATTGTTTGATATGCTGCTATCTTACAGCCCAACGTGTACTGGCAAAACAAATGCTATTTTCATAAAAATTGAATTGGAATACATTAATAAAAGACAAACTGCTAAAGCCTATGAAGTGCACAAGTAAATGATGTGTGTTGGTCGCCATCCCTTATTAGGCCAAATAGGAAAATTGCCTTCAAGCAACAAGTAATAGAGACCAACATCTTTGTAGAAGTATTTTGAGTATCTTTGGGTTTGTGCACGTTGCAAGGTAAATGTACTTTTTAAAAAAAAAAAGAGAAGGAAGAAAAAGGAAAAGAAAAAAACTACTTGGTTATCTTAACTAAGAATTTGAAAGGTCTTCCCTTTTATTGGTTTATTGTTGCTCAAAATGAAAAGCAAGAAAGAAATTGTACTTACTGTGCGGTTTTATGTTGTTGTTCTGCAGCAGTTTTTCACTCTGTGTGTGTCAAGGTTCTTATGAGCTAAAATGAACAAGGGGGAGACAGACTTTATCTCAGCTATTGACTTTATAAAATGATTTTGCTTTATATACCTATCTGCTTTTGAATGTTTGATTTCATGAAATGTCTATGTTATAGGGGTTTTTTTCATCTTTCAACTCTTTTTACCAGTATTGTCTGAGAGATTTTACATTGCCATAGATATCCTGAAAAAAAACTTTATTTCAATTTTCATTATGTGAAATTAAGTCTTTAGTGCAGAAGTAGAATATAAACAAAGAGGCATAGTAGCATATGATAGTCATATCCTTAATCTATTTTTCATGTTTGTGTTCCAATGTTCCATGAATTTGGTAAGCATTTAATTCATATCATGCCACTGATTTCAACCTGAAACAAATGGGCAAATTAGTTTCTTTGACAAAAAAACAGGCGTTTTGTTTCCCTCTCTGCTTGTTGCTGAAATACTTTGGGCATCCGTTTATTTGCATCTGTAACAGATTCTCAAAGATGGTTATAGAGCTGATTTAAAATTTTGCTTTGGGCTTTAGGAAAATACTCTGGGTCAATTGAAAATGGTTTAGCACTTCATCTGTATGGCTTTGTTAAAGCACTGAGACACCAAAGCTTGGATTTTATAGAGCCATTAATGCATGCCCAATGTGTGTGCTGAGGCAAGAGGCCAAAGGCCGTGTGCTTTCAGCTACCCGTGGACCGTATTAATGACCCTGTGAAATACACTCCTGAGCATCCTAATGCAATTATAATTACTTACTTTATTATTACTTGCCTCTTTGAAAAAAGTTTTCTAAATATTTCCCTTTCCTTTTTATATAGTCTATAACTGGAAGAATAATTTACAGTAGACAAAAATGAAAATGTTCACAACAATAAGATTGTTAACTTTAATTTTCATCATTTCTTTTTGGTAACATAAAGTTTTCTCTTTCAATACTTCATGGGCTTGCACATGCTCTACGTTAAAAGTTTTATTTTGTGTTTAATGTAAAGTTTCTCCTGATATCATGATTAATAGCTCTCTGGATGCAGATTGCTAGCATTTTGTTTCTCATTAGCAACTGGAATTTGTATTAAAAGGAGAACTAAAATATTTTGTATATTTCTTTTTAGACAAAAGCAAAGAG